GGAAAATTAGGTTAGGCCCTTCATAAGTTCAACAAGTGTTTCTCAGTTCCTTGTCTGGGCCTGCTACCATGCGAGACAGAAGGTGCAGCTACGTGTCTACCTCCCGCCCTGTTCTGAGGGCACAGGGCAGACAAAGTATCAGAATGGTCATGACTTTACAAAGAACCGCAAAAAATACAGGCGCTAGCTTCCCTATATGTCCCAGCCGAGGACAATTTCTTTTGCTCCTGAACTTTCACGGAACATTATCTGCAGCTTTCAAATTACTTACTACTTTCTCTCTCTATCCAATTTTATTCTAATTACTTTGACTGTTGGATCCTTTAAAACAGGATTATTGCTACTTCATTCTCGTGTCTTCTAAAGTGAATATGTGCCAGTATATAGATGAAATATATACAAATTATTAAATATATTCAATATATAAGAGGCATGTTAAAATATTAATAGTAAAATTAAGAGGTATGAGCTTATGAATGATAATTCATTTTCTTTTTAATTTCATATGTACTTTCTAAATAATATACAAGGAGCATATCTTGAGTCTTCCCATATACACATACATATCCAATAAAATAACTAACTCCCCCCCCCCGAAAGTATCACACTGGAATAACAGGCATGCATTTCAATTATGAGGCAAGATTATATTAAGGGTTGTACACTTGGAGCTTTAAAAATATATATAGTTTTAGCCTGAAGAAACAATGGGCAGTTACAAGTATAGTTTGTATTCTGCTCCAAAGTAAAACTATTTTCTTAAACCTCCAACCTGGGGTAGAAAAGAACAGAGCCATATGCAATGACATCACTTCATGAAGACAAGACACAGCATCTATAATTATCCAGTTTTCAAAAAAGAGAAAAAGAGTTCGTTGAAGTATGGTCTCTGGGAAGCATTTGTCTCCGTGTTTTCTCTAAAGAACAACTTCATTACAGAGACGGTAAAAGTCAAGAACTGGAGTATAAAAACTGTCATTTTTATCTCGTGATGTTGGTTATAATTAGGAATTATTTGTTTTCAAATACAAATAAAAATACATTGCTGTCCTTAAGTTTAAGACACCGCTAAACAGGTGATGGACAAACACCCAGACTTTGCCTCAGTTCCAGGGGACTCCGATTGGAGAGGCCGTACCTTCAATGTCCTGCTGCCTGTTCACACGGCGCTAACGCCATGCACTTTACTCTGCCCAAAGCGCCTCCAGGGAGGTGAGGAAAACAGGAGCCCTAGGAAAGCAAACTAGTGTTAAGCCATGTGAGGATTTAAGGCTCCTTGCCACACTGCCTGGGATTGAGCCGCTCTGCCAGTAGCCCCTTCTGGAGTTGCTGCTGGGCCGGGGCTCAAGGATTCTCTGCTTCACCTGTGTTTTTGAGGGGAAATTTTAAGGTTGACTTCACAAAGATCATGACTCATTTTTCCTATTCATATATTGGCTGCAAAAGAATCAGCACTTTCTCCTCTTAAGTTCCTTTACTAGGCTCTGAGTACCAGGAAGAAAATGTCTTCATGTAAGCTACTGAGATGACACTCACATCACTTAAAGTGGAGATGCCTCTTCGTGCAACTCCTGAGAGCAGTGGAATTAGCTTAGAACTTGTAGCTTAGTACTTGAACTTATGAAAGTGATGACATCATGTAATTGATAGTTTTAGAAGATACAGATGAATTTTTGCAATAGACAGCCATCCAACTTCAGTTAGGGCAAAGTGAGAAATTTCAGAAGTCCATTCTCAGAAGTTGCATTTTCAAATGTCCTATATTCTGAGAATTTAACAAAATCTGAGTGTTTATATGAAGCCCATGTGTCTCTAGCAACCTTGAATTTCCCCATCTGCATTGTAATCAATGAATCTGTACAAGCGGAGGGACTGTTAACATTGGGCTATTTTAAACAAAAATATAGGATGTTTCTTATTTTAAGAAATTAAAACAAGGGTTAGGTATAAAACTTTTTTTTTTTTTTCAGTTTTTGCCCAGGGCTGGGTTTGAACCCACCACCTCCAGCATATGGGGCTAGCACCCTACTCCTTTGAGCCACAGGCACCACCCAGGTATGAAACTTTCAATTATGTGCTAAAAATTAGTGTAACATACACGTTAACTCTATAATTTCAAAAGTTACCTTTTTCTTTCTTTCTTTCTTTTTTATTTTTGTAGAGGCAGAGTCTCACTTTATTGCCCTCTGTAGTGTGCTGTGGTGTCACAGCTCACAGCAACTTCCAACTCCTGGGCTTAGGCGATTCTCTTGCCTCAGTCTCCCGAGTAGCTGGGACTACAGGCGCCCGCCACAGTGCCGGGCTATTTTTTTGTTGCAGTTTGGCTGGGGCTGGGTTTGAACCCACCACCCTTGGTATATGGGGCCAGCACCCTAACCCACTGAGCCACAGGTGCTGCCCCCCAAAAGTTAACTTTTCTTAATCATTGCTGGTTCTGTGGGTCTCTCTCCCTCTCTCTAATTGACCAAAATATTTAATAGTTTATACTAAAATGTTACACGTACGAGAAATAGTAGAAAAGCTTATATGTATACTAAAACTTTATTTAGGAAGTTAGCTAAACTTTAGGAAGAATCGCACCCAGTTATATTGTGAAGTAGATTAATCTCAAATTTATCTTAACTACAGTTCAGTTTCTCAGTTAGGACTACTATTTTTATTTAGATACGTGCTTATTAAGAAATATGAAATCAAATAACTTGGTTTAAAGAGTTATAACAATATATATTCAGCATAAAAGTGTATTTCCTCTTTGAAAAATGTTTGGTGAATTTCAATACTCTATTCTAAATCAATTTGATGCTAATGTTTTCAACTAAACTTTACTAAACACAGTCAGACCTAGAGGATAACATGGTAAGTAGTTCAGTTAGGCTGGCTTTAGAATTCTATCCACAATTATCCAGTTAATATCTAAAATAATTCTAAGTATGCTGGAGAATTTCAACTCTGCCATTTGAAAAAAGAATCTTTTAAAAAAATGACTAGATTAAGTTAGGATCAACTGCAAACTATTTAAATGTTTTATGTTAATAAAATAAAAAGTTAAACAGACACTGGAAATCGCTAAGTGCAGTTATCAAGTTTTTCCTCTCCTCAAAGATAGCAAGCAATATTAATAAAAACAGCAACATTAACTACAGAGTCCTTTAAATAAACTTCATAAAATAAAGTTACTTCCCTGTAACTTAAAGTGTGGACTGACAAACACAAGTGTCTTCTTTTATGTTTCTTGTTTATTGTTAAGCAATTTGATATGTGTTACAATATAACAACAGGGAATATATGGTCTAATTGGATCACAGTTATTCCAAAGCTATTTCTCTCATAAACCCCTAATGTCACTGGTTCCACCATAGGAGATTCCGTGCAACTCTCATACTATAAAATTGTTTTCTTTTTAGAAATAACACATTAATATAAATGTGAATTTTCAAAAGTAAAAATGATTCAATAAGTTGGATGGGGCGGCACCTATGGCTCAAAGGAGTAGGGTGCCAGCCCCATATTCAGGAGGGTGGTGGGTTCAAACCCAGCCCCAGCCCCAGCCAAAACCTGCCAAAAAAAAAAAAGAAAAAGAAAAGAAAAGAAAAAAGAAATAAGTTGGAATTTGCAACCAAGTACTCTACTTGCATAGTGGCAAGAAGCCAGGTTATTTCATTGCTCTCAGAGAAATGATCCTGGCTCCCCTGCCACCTGCTCCCAGGTCCTGGGCCCAGTCTCTGGAAACTAATTCAATATCAAATCCCACCTAGGAGGCATCCACGTCTCTGCAGCCCAGCTCACTCTCCCTGATGGTTCCTTTGGCAGAGCTGCTTAGAACTGTTTGTGGAACACCTGTTCATGTGTTCACTTCCCATCAAAGCTCTGCGTGGCGGATCCTGTTATGATGCTTGCTTTATAGATGACAAGTTTTTGAGTCTTCGGTAGGTTAAATACCTTTCAAAGGGGCAGACGAAGCTGACAAACTGGGACTGAACCGGGGACCTGCTGCTTTGTAGTTTGTATCATACTACTCATAGGTTTCCATTTAATTACTTATGATTATTATTTTATTGTTTGGTGTGATCTCAAATGATGTTAAAAAAACTCTTCCCCCCCTCTTTTTGGTGGTGGGGTGGGGGAGGCTCTGTCACCTTAGGGCAGTGGTTCTCAACCTTCCTAATGCAGTTCCTCATGTTGTGGTGATCCCCAACCATAAAATTATTTCCGTTGCTACTTCATAACTGTAATTTTGCTACTGTTATGAATTGTAATGTAAGTATCTGAGTTTTCCAATGGTTTTAGGTGACCCCTGTGAAAGGGTCGTTCGACCCCCAGTGGAGTCGCGACCCAACAGGTTGAGAATCGCTGCTTTAGGGAAACAAGTGTAGCTGATCCCTTGATTGAAAAGATCTTTCCAGTTTGATGACTCAAGACAGTATTCTAATCATAAGAATACTCAGACAAAGGGGGGCGTCATCCAGGCGCGACTCCAGGTAAAATCCCAAGTGAAGGGCTCATTGAACTAGTCCCTCCAGGAAAGGGAGGAAGGAGGGTTCCCTGGCCACGTTACCGCCGTGCCCCTCTCCCTCTCTCCCTCCTTCCCTCCTCACCCTTCCCTCAAGCTCACCTGGGTCAGGAAAGGTATTCTGAGAAAATCAAAAGGAAAAACAACGTCCTGTCTCCCCATGGGGGTTGGGACAGGCGCGCACACCAACTTTGCTGCCTGTCGGTGGCATCTGCTTTCTAATAATTTGCTCTCAACCTGACCCCTGGGAGTGATTTAGAGGCGCCCTCCCCTACCTCCAGTTTCCACCTGTTGCTCTCCCTGGGGGCAGGAGGAGCCTTTCCCCCTGGTTGATGGGCTGAACTCGCTCTGGGGAGACTGTTCCCCGGCTGGGTCAGGAACTCCGCGGAGGGAAAGGCAGCGCTCGGGGGCTCCCTGTGCCGGGGCGCCCCAGCCACTCACCTGCAGGCGAGGCCGGCGGCGGCTGGGCAGGGGCGCGTCTCCTCCCCAGAGGCCCCGCTCGGCGGTGCTGGGCGCCCGCGTCCGAGCCGGCTGTTAATTATTACTCGCCGCGTCCCGCCCGCCCGCCCGGGCCGAGCTGTTAATTACTGCTGGTCTGCGCCGGGCAGGGACCTGTGGGCAGCCCCTCCCCGCACCTGGTGCATGGCGGGAGAGTTTGCCTCCCGGAGCGGGGACAGGTGGCCCCGGCTCCCCCCGCGCTCCGCGGAAGCCGGTGACCTTCTGGTTAACGCTTTGCTCTCCTCTCCGTAGTCCCTCCCGGACGTGGATAAGGGCAGCGAGGAGGACGGCGGTTAGGACTGAAGGCCATCGTCACTTGTCTTTCCTCTCACAGGTCTCTTTGAGTGTGAGATTTCTTGACGTTCTCCTCCCGTTGCTGGGGACCCCTGGTCCCACTCCCGGCGCCCTGGGACACTCCGCTGCGGGTCTCGAGTACTTTGCAGGCGCCTATATTTTTGATAAGCTCCACAGAAGACCCTGGTGGACATTAAAACTTGAGAACGATCGTAATAAAGTACGACAGGGAAAATAATAATTTAGTCATTATCTATTGTCTTGGGAGACTCAGCTGTTCCTCAACATTTACGATTTTGAAAGGTCACCAAAAAGGCTTAGGAGCCCGCAGGTGACAGACAGACGCCGTGGAAATGCCACGCGCTTTCAGTTCTAGCGTCACTGGCCTGTTACCTGTTTCCAAGGTAAAGCAACTATTGACAAATTTTTAAACTCAGGTTCCTTTTCAAACGTGAGCCTTGGCGTCCTCAAAAGGAGCTCATGATTCTTACCAAGATGCCTGGCGTCCTTGGGGTCCAAATGCCAGATTACCAGGAGGACTGCGGGTTACTTGGATTTGCAGGGAACGTGTCTGACATACCACTTTAGGATTTTATGGATTGGAAAGGTCAGACTTATCCATTCAGCTTGTGCTGTGTGGAAGCGACAGTTATCAGCTTGTAGTTCCCTGGTAAATGGAGCACACGCAAAGCTTTTTACAAGCACCTGCAGACGGCTTGGTATGCTGCGGGTTTAAGTCTGATGTGAGGGCCCCACCTGCCCCTGGGGTGTGGCCGGAGGAGCTGACCTTTGCCTGCTGACTAACAGGCCTGGTGTCCGCGGATCCGGGTCCAGGACGTGCTGCTCATACCTAGCTCTGCTGTCTGGACCGCGCGGGATCCTTTGCTGGTTCTCATCAGGGGAGCAGCGCTTT